TTCTGCAGGACTCTCTGATAAGTAGCATGGTGCCACATGCATGCTGTATGGTTCTAGTTCCATGTTTCAATTTCACACGTTAGTCTCTCTCCGTCTGCACCTCAAGAGCACAGCAAAAGCTTCGCTGTGTTTTGAATGTCACTGCAGTTCAGTCCCAGGGACAGGAGGATATGCTGGTGGAAAGGGATGGTCACAGATATATTTAATAAACCCATAGCGGTCTGATGTAGATGGATACGTACCTATACCCCACACATATACACATAGCTATAATCTCAGCAGGAACTGGCAGCCAGGGAGCTAGTCCTCCCTTGTCCCTTGTTTTAGCAAATATTTTGGAAACTGATCACAACACACAATAAATCAACCAGCACTAATTGGTGCCCAATTCCAATCTCTTGACCAGCCTAATGGATCTTTCCCAAAGAAACAGTCAACTTTACATTGAGAACAAGCATGAAAGATTTCAGGCCAAAGGGTACATGCCTGGCATAACAGTTTATAATGGAAGTGTCTTTCCAACCCTAACAACTGCGTCACTACCATAAAGCTGCACTGTCTAGAATGGCGCAATTTGTTTTCAGCTCTCTCTGCTGCAGAATCTAAAAATGCTAGGGGTGGGTGTGAAGGTTTTTCCTTTTTGTTATTAGCCCCTGGGTCTGCCACACGTAGTATGCAATCAGCATAAATCCATGTTGTTTACTTGATACCCCCCGGCAGTATTCACAGCCACCACAGAGAGAAATACGAAGCATCACTGAGGGAGACGTCCCGTCTGCTTCTCCTCCACAACCGCCCTAATCTGAAGAGGAGGCACAATATACGCCCAGGCTTGTACATACAGTCTTGTAACACTAGCCAGAAATGCAGCTGGGCTTTGCTTCATCCACATTAGGAAACCAACTCTCCCACAGCATGCCCCATTGCCGAGCACAACCCAGCAAATCCAACCACTGGGGTGACCGCTGGAAATCTGCAAGCCCTGGGTACCTAGGAAGTCACTGCTCTGTCTGAGTCATGCCTTTGTGTTGGTGGCTCAACCCCTGTGAAAGGAACAGGAACTGCGTGGGGAAATGGCTGTTGTGACTTTCCTGTTAATTTCTTTTCCACTCCCCTGGGCACTCTTGTTAACTCTTTATGCACCCAGGAGCTGAGCAGCTGGAAGAGGCCTCAGGGAGCGGTCTGAGTAGAACAAGGTGATATTGTTTCAGGAACAGATCCAGCTCCAAACCCAACCAGAGATCACATGGGCCATCTGGTGGTGCTAGGCAGTGGATGCTCCTGCAGCCCAATCTAAGCCTAACATCTGAATTTGGCTTAAAAAGGGCCTTTTGCGATGTAGGGAAAGCTTCCCGACTGATGGAGAGGACGTGCATTTCTGTTTATCTTGCCACATTTGCCAGTTATCGGCGATCGCAGACCCCTGCACCCATGCACCTGGAATGGGTCAGAGATTAGAAAACCCATTCTGCAGTGCACAAGTTCCCACTGCATGGTGGGCAGCATGTCAGCAATCTGCAGATAAAAGCTCTCGAACAGGCACTGACACCACAGACCACAAGGCATCTGCAAATGCCGCTGCAGTCCAGCAAGCCACTAATCCCCAGACTGAATGTCCCAGATAGCACAAAGTGGCAGAGAGGCTCATTAGAGCTCTGAAGGAGCCAACAGACTCCGCAGTTGCATTGCCCAGAGATTGTCGGAATCCTGCCAGGGAGACTCCTTGCATTTTAATTCTTTTCACTTTGCGGATTTGCTAAGACTAACGAAACGTGCACGCTGAAGAGGACATTGATGGAATTGAGGCAACATTAACAGGCTGGCTTAAATATGCGCCATTTTCATTTTTCTATACTGACTGTTAATTAGGTCACTTTCCTTCATATATTCGCCACATTAACAGTGCTGGGGAGGAAGAAGTGAAGCCTAGAGAGATCAGTGAGTGGGAGAAAGGAATAAAAAATCCTCCACTTTGTACTGAAAGACTTCAGCTAGCACAGTGAAGAGCATCATATATCAGTTTTCCGACACAGGCGTCAACTAAAATGTAACTCAAGAAGCCCTTTGCCTGGTGCAGCGTCTCAGAGATCGCAGCCTGAATTCCTGTTTAATCCCATGGGCAGCAGAGCAACAACGAAGAAAGGAGAAAAGAAATACCCCAACCCTGCGTCCTTTCCTTGTCAATTTCAGAGTCACAAATGCAGGTGGATCCAGCCCTCCCCACCCACTGCTGCCAAAGATACAGTGCACCTGCAGAACTGGCCCGTCACTCACATCTGCCATGTAATGCACCGTGGGGCTGGAAAAAATGGGCCAGCAGCGCTATTGACAGGAATTGTCCACAGGGAGGATATCTGCAATTGTATCCAAACCTGGGCACTCCGGAACAGGAGGAAGGCATGATGAAAGAAGGTCATTACGCTGGGAAATAGGCAGCTTCCATTTTAACCCTTTGGTGAGACTGTGAAAACTGAGCTCATTGCCTGGTGCATTAGCAGTGATCAGTAACAGGCCATGCCCTGCCAAACCTGGAAACTCCACCTAGCCTGTGGCCAAGGGATCAATTGCAGAGCAGCTAATTTGTCTGGCCCTGGGATTTGATTAACAGCTACATAATGAAGACTGAAAATTGAATTGTACCAAAAGCTGATACAACTGTAAATTGCTGTGATTCGTGCCAGTGCTTTGGTGCATTGGTAAAATGCCTAATCCCTGCAAACAGCTAAAACTAATAAGGAGCAGATGATGAAAACCAAGTGTAGTTATAGCCCCTAAAAATACGATTCTGATGTTCTCCAAAGCCTGATCTCACCCATCTGAGAACTACTATCGCACGGAACTATCAGGAATTATTCACACAGACAGAACAGTACATTCTGTCTGATTTCACGGAATCAGGGACAACAGAGGCAGACATGTTTCCTTAAAGGTGCCGCAGTGAGTGCTGAATTTTGAAACACAAGCTTGAGACAAACTCTAATCCAGCAGGGTGCTAGACTGCTCCACTACAGACACCAAGAAACCAGTGGCCCACAATCGCCCCGTCTCTGCCTGCTAACTTCACCAGCCCTCCCTCAGATCAGCTAGCAGCGCCTCTCAGGTACCCACTGTAAAGCTGCGCTGAGGAATTTCAGCTCCTTCACTTGCACTGGGTCCCACTGCACAGCACAGCCTCATCCCCCACCACCCCACCAGAGCTCAGCATAACCCAGCACAATACAAGGCCGTTCTGGATCCTATTGCAGTATCTAGCGCTGGGAGCCAAAACAAGAAGTGTGTGTCAAAGTCAGTGTGTGCTAGGATCACGGGGACAGCTCCAGACTGGGGGGTCCCAATCACTGCAAGCCGGATGCCACGGCGCACTGCGTTACTACGGCTATTATTGCTAGTATTTACTATTGAGACTACCAGAGCGGCTAAGAGCCCTAGCCAAGGACCAGGTGCTGTCCAGACAGAGTGAACAGATGGTCCTGTCCCAAGGAGCTCACCAGAGAAGAGACGATAGATAAGCTACCGCTGGGGAGCACTCAGAACCAATGACACAGTAGCCGTCAGCAAGATACCCAGTGCTCTCAGCACACCCGGGGCTAGCCATTGTCGGGTTTTTTGTAGACAGCCTGGCAAAGGAGAGTTTTACGGGGGGATTTGAATGAGGAGGAGGAGGTAGCTTAGCAGGGGATTATGGGAAGCTCCTCCGAAGTGCGAGGGGCCACATAGAAGCAACCACAAAGGTGCCTGTTGGGAAATGTACCAAGTGGGTGATGGAGGCTGGCACCGCTGGCTGGTCAGAGGTGGGAGTCGACGTTCCGGTGTCATCGTATGGGTCTGGGACAGGCCAGCAGCGAATCAGGCCACTGGAGACTCCATAGTCACCCCTCTCTCCCCACAGAGCGGTATGAAGAGATTGGATCTTGCAGTCCAGAAAACCATTTCCACACTAGTTGACAAATAAACTCAGTTCCTTCTGACACACTCCCTGGCTCCTCGCCTGCCCTCCTGTGTGCCCCAAGCTAATGACACACCACCCACTTTGCCATCCAACACTGAGAAGAAATGCAAAGTCCATCCGAATTGGGAGCCAGTGGGTGTGATGAAGGCACTTGTTCTTGAGCCTCCCAGGAGAGACAGCTGTATTTTAGAGAAAATGTACCATCCATACATCCTGAGATGAACTGTCCAGTCAAGGAAGGAGGAGCTGTGCAAATAATAGAGCTTTTTTGATCCCAGGATTTGGTTCAGACCCCTGCACCCTAACTCTGAAATTGAGAAGTAGAGCCAGTCCGAATTTTTCAATGAAATGTCTTTTCATCAGAAAATATTGAGTCATTAAAAATGAAACTTGCCATGGAAAAGTGTCATTGTTAATGAAAATGTCACTGGGGAGGTTTCTCGGGTTCAGGATATTTCTGGTCAGAGAGAGAGAGAGAGAGAGAGAATGGCCAGTAGCCTTGAGGGTACTCCCCTGGGATGTGAGAGAGACATCGAAAGTCCCAACTCTGAAGCAGGAGCACTCACTCTCTGGTTTTTCACAAGCTCTAGTTTTTATACGAACGTGGAACAAAAACAAATGTGGAAACTTCAAAATTTTTTCACAAAACCAAATTCTTGTTTTCCAGCCAGTCCTACTCAGGAGCCACGTTAGGTTCAAAATGTCTCAGGAAAGTTCAGGGTCTGTGCATTCCATACATCACACGATGACCCCTACATTTCCTGTCTAGACCTCCATGACAGTACGTGGGAAGAGTTTATCTCGGCTGTGCTGGTAATTTGGTCTGAGGGGTATTCCTCTGCTAATGCACAGCTCACAAATTCTCCATCTGCAGCATATTTCTAAAACCAGGGGAAGTGCCATTTGAAAGGTTCACTCCTAGGAACAACGCTCTTGTCACCTGGTGTGTAAGAACAAAGCCATGCATACCAGACAACGCTATGCAGAACAGTCCGGGGAAAAGCAATACAGGCAAAGCAGGAGGTAATGCAACTGGTTTGGATAGCCCTACCTTCGAACACGGCCCGATTCCAAAGGAGTTGCTCTCGGCTGTCTGGTGCAAGTGCAGCATCGTCCTGAAAGCAGTTATGAAGAATGAAAATTAAACCACACCTCAGTGCTACCTGATAGGTCTTATTGCCCTCCAGAGGGAGCAGGATCTGGTGCATGAAAACGTTACCCAATGCAACAGCACTGAGTAGTGTTCAAAGCCACTGAAGGAGCTTGGATAATCCAATCGCTCCGCTGAGAGAGAGAGAGCATGTCGCTCTCGAGGGAGGCGGACATATTAAACTCATGTTTTCAGGTGTGTTTCCTAAAGGCTCATGCTTGGAAATGCTTCTCTGTGCCCCTTTCGAGATCATCAAGCCCAAAGGAGTATTGTAAACTTCACTCTAGAAAGGCCTTCACTGGCCAGAAGTTTCAACTCCTTTCACCAAAGCAGATTCTCTCCAATTCCCATCTGTGTTTTCTGATTTCTGAGTGCTAGTTCCCCTCTTGCAGTCCCATGCTGCATGCACAAGACGTACAAATGTCCTTGGCACTTCCTTTCCCTCCCTTTGATAAGTAACTCATTGGGTTTGGAGGGGAGGTGATTAATAAAGGCTCCTAGCCATGAACGGGTTTATACCTCCAGTCCTACAGTTACCAACACCACAATACAATTCACACCCCGGTGAGCTATTCTGTTGTAGTGTGAATTCACTACCATGTTGTACGGTATCGCACAGGGTCAGGGTCAGGGTCGCAGTCACAACCCAGCTTTGCAGATACGAACCAGGGTGCCCACATGGTTCTGTGAAAGGGAGATGGGGAATTCCAGGAAGCTCATGGGCCAACTCAGACAAACAGAGCTCATGTTGGCCTCCTCGGTTCAAGGGTATTCGTTACTTGTATAGTGCCACTGGTGTGTATAGACTGCTGCAGGTACAAGGGGAAATGGCCCTGCCCGTGGAGTTAACAGTCAATGGGACTATTTCTGTAGTAGGGGGCGAATTAACTTGGGCTGGATGCAGCCCAGAGTTGTTAGGTGGGAGGTGAAATCATTCATATAAAATGAAAAGTGACCCAAACTGGCATCCAGAACTCAATTATTTGTGTGTGTGTTAAACTGTTAACTGAATTTTTTGGAATTATTTTTCATTTTCTTCTGATTCGCTCAATCCTGGTTTTAGCCAAGATGCAAAAGCGCCAGAAGTCTCCTGCCCGACCCTGTTCTCTGAAGATTTCTCGCCCAGTTCCACACTCGAGTCTCTGAAAGTGATCACTCCACACCCTGGAACCTTTGACGTTTGCCCACTTCCCCTAAGATGACACCCGAAACAAACTCCCTATAATACAGTGCCCTGATTTCTGGTGCTTATGTGTCTTTGCTGTCCAATCTCATTCTATCAGACAACAGATTAACAAACAGGCCAAAACTCAAACCAAATTCTGTGCGGGGAAATCATTTCATAGCTATTCTGCTCCCTCTGCTGGGGAAATGAGAGTCCCTCAGTACGGTTCCAGAGCCTAATTCACATCCCCTGACAATATCATGTTGATTTGTCTGATCCTACATCTCTTGTTTAAAGTCTCCCTTATTAGCCCATAACAATACATCTGTCTCTATCAATAGCCTTGTCAAGGGCAGTCCTGTCCAAAGACCTTTAGAACAAAGCCTCTGCCAGACTGATTTTTTTTCACCTTCTTTATCAGCACAGAAACATTGTGCTTAGTGCAAGGCCCCCTGGATGATCTGCACCATACGATCCAAGTGTCTTTGTTCTGTATTCAGCCCTCATCACAGAGAACTGGACCACACTATTCACAAAGCAGCTCTTGAGTATAAATGGGGGGGGGGGAGGAGAGGGGAGCCTGGAAGCAGATCCCAATGGTCTAACAGTTATCTAATAGAAGCTGCGCAGATTGGCCAGCCGTGTCCAGTCGCAGCTCTGTGACTGAGGAGAAACATCTCAGAATCGGTGGCCTCTCTTCTGAAGCCTATACACATTTTGTGCCCTGGATGCGCCTATCGACCTAGATGGCGATACGCTTGATTTACACCCGTGTACACAAGAGGAGAATCTCTCTCACTGGTGTAACACTTCTTTGACCCATATTTCTAAGTGCGTCACTTTGGTCTAGCATCTCTCTCCACACAGACACACAGCTCCCTGCTGAAACCTCATCACGTCTAGCGGCTGAAGGGTCTAATGTATCCACCCTTCTATGCGGGGGATTCATCCGGTATTGAAATGGACCCTTTGTAATAATAAAGGGACATGGAAACCGCAGTGCCCGTCACCCAGCCGAGAACTGATACATTCGAAGGCACTGGGTCATGGTACAGCTGACTATTAATGAACGTCAGAGGAGCAAGTGAGGGGAAATGTGCTGTATGAAATACTGATCGGGTGGAAGATCTCAACCTATTGTGTGCTGAGGTCTGCAGTGGTGAGGTGATATTCGCAGACAGTACTGTACCTCCACAAGGGGTGACCCAAGTGACCAGCACACTGAAATTTTGTGGTTTGTAGCCTTTTTTAAAAACTTATACCTGAAAACCATTCTCTGGGTGTAATCAGAGTGGCCTGCACAATTGGCTAGAAGAGTCTAAATGGACCTATACAGTGAAGATCTCCTCCTGACCTGCTATTTGCCTGCGCAACCTATATTGCAAAATCCTAACTTCTGTACATTGTTACTAAACCGGCAGCTACTGGTTAGAGAACATGAGTTCGGCCTCTGTCTCCCACAGCCGTGGAAGGATTTTCCGGGCATTCCCTGAGGAATGGCTCCTGGACTCAATGTGTGCAATATTCCTGCAGGAGTTGGGAGGAAAGAACTGCTTTTCATTCCTCTCTCTGGAAAGGGACTGACTGTAAGAGAGAGCTGAACAAACACGCCTCTGCCCCACAATGGCAAAGAAGCCGTCCTATTCATTGGGATTCAGCTGCCAGTGTGGAGAGAGAGAGCCCTTCTGGTTAGTCTGACCTCTGGGCCCCAGCGCGGCTTGTGGAGCTAGCAGGCCTCAGCCCTGACAGGACCCCAGCCCAGGGTCTCCTCCAGCAGTGCCTCTCTCGTGCAGGTTTATTACCCCGCACAAGACATAGCAACAAAGCAGCTCCAAGACCCTGACGTCCCTTGGCTGGTGCTTTCCACCATATAATAGGGACTATTTGCCAGGAAGTGCTAACAGAGCCTATTTACTCAGAGAGGCACATCTTTCCCTGACTGGTAACCCAGCCAGAGAGACCAATAGCTCTCAGCACAAACAGAAACAGACAGGAGAGAGATTGCTAGAGTCCCTCATAGTCCATATGTGTTTCTCACAGGCTCCATTTCTCACCTGGAAGCCTCTGCACAGATCCCAGTATCCCTCCCAACAGTCCCCTCCAATGCAAGAATTAACTAGCCCGTTCCTTGCCTGCTGTCCCCTCCCACCCATCGCTGCCTCCTCCTCACACCTCACTATACTGCTGCGCATTCTCTGGAGGCTCCCATGCATTCCTCTGGGTTCATGATCAATCCCGTCCTCAGCAAAGCTCGTCCAGGAACTCACTTGGGGGCACACAGGATCAAAGAAATGTGGGGCTAGAGGGGACCTCGAGAGGTCATCTAGTCCAATCGCCTGCACTGAGGCAGGACCAAGTATTATCTAGCCCATCCCTGGCAGGGATTTGTCCAACCTGTTCTTAAAAACCTCCAGTAATGGGGATTCCACCACCTCCTTTGGAAGCCCGTTCCAGAGCTTGGCTACCCTGAGAGCTAGAAAGTTTGTCCTAAAATCAAACCTCAATCTCCCCGGCTGCCTGCGATGACCTTGCTGAGGTCGGTCCCATTGCTGTCCCTTGGTCTGTCTTCATGAACCTGTCCCCCGGGGAGGGGAGATATTAACACGTCACACTCCCTCACCCAATCTTGTTAGACCACTCTGTGCTGGATGCGTCACTTCTAGTGGCCCCATCACCATGGCATCTAGCCATGAGGGCATGGCGGAAAGCTATCGCACACAGACACACCAGATTTCATCCCACACACACGGCCTCAGCTATACCTGTGAGCCATGTCCAGGCCTGCCAGCATCTGAGAAAAGACACTGAAGTTGCTCTCTCCTTCGGGTTGCTGTGCGACACGGACCCTTTCCAACAGCATCGTCTGGCAGAGGAAAGAAAGAGAAGCTCAGCACCCAGTCCCCAGCCTGCAATCCCCGCCCAGGGCCAGCCGAGCGCAGAGGCTGTGAAACCCACACTGGCTGGGAATAGCCAAATGACCATCGTACGTTGTGACGGGAGGGGTTCTTTACACCGAACGCCCATCACTGGCCAAATCAGAGTCACCGAGGAGTGAGCCAGACCCACAGACCTGGGGATAGGACGATGCCACCTGGATTTTTTACATATTTTGGATGTGGACAAAAGGTTAAAGCTTTTGAAAATGGATTATTTGAGAGACCAAACTTTTCCCTGGGTTACATCAGCCCAGCACCCCTGCGAAGTAAGTGGTGTAACTGAGAGGAGGATTTAGCCCAAGGCATGAAGGGGTAAAACTTTCAACAGCATGTAAGGGACTTTCAATGGGACTTGGGCTTTCCATCACCTAGGCGCTGTTGAAAACGCTAATGACCACTCTCAAATGATTCTTTCCTTTGTATCCCAGGGACAGGCAAACCATTCCCGGACTGGAAATGAGCCTGAACCAAACTCTTTGATCTTTATTATTTGTTACGGCTGAGTGCCCCTGCCTTTGCAACCGGCAGAGGAAGCGCCGATTCTTGTGATGGTTCCCCCTAGAGCTGCAGGTGATTATCCGCTATGCAGTGCCATATAGCGGCACATGTTCAGATGGCTCAGACACACCTCACCGCACATTCAGTGCTGAGCCAAGCCAAGCCAATCCTGCCAGCAGAGAGGGGGTGGAGCCTGGCAGCTTCGCCATCACTGCTTACTACAAAGACTCGCTCTTGGAAACCGGGGACCCCCCTTGCTGCTCTCCCCTATGTGCTGGGAACAGCCTGCTCCACTCTGCCGTTAACTTCCCGACCCATCCACGGTTCGCCCTGGCAATCTGACCTGTACAAGCAGGAAGCCAAGGGGGGTTATGCTGCTACATGGGACGCCTTGGTGAGTGGAAGGGAAAAGAAAGACAGAAACGCCTCCGTTGCCTGGAGCGTCTCTCCGAGCACACCATAGCTGGCCTCTTTCAAACGCAGGGATTCCGGGAACTTAATCTCGGAAGAAGAAGAATTGATGCAGCGGATTTCAGGGAGCATTAGAAATGGAAATAGCGAGAGAGCCAAAGTCAGCCTTGAGCTGCCCCAGGGGGGTCTCTTCTAGTCTGCCCCTCCCCAGGCAGCTGCAGGGCTGGTTCCCGTTGTGCTGCTCAGCAGAGAGGCCCAGCTAATGCACTCAGGGGACTGTTCCAGCCCCAAGGCAGGTCTGCTAGCTCCGAGGCAGGCCAGAGCAGTAGGCAGCATGCGCCAGTGACATGCAGGGAGTATATGCTGCTCGATTCTTGGTCCCTGGGATTCCCACCCAAGCAGCTCAGCTCCTGAGAGCAAGGGCAGGGCAGACCTTTGCTTCCCTTAGCTGTGCTGATAATGAAAGCAGAGAGACGCTTCTGTTTAATTTCACGGCCAACATGTACGGTGCTGCTAATTAAATGCCAAATTATAGATTTACGTATGCATATTTCACACCAGCCCCATTCTGCTTGTCTCCCCAGGACGAGGTGGCTGGTTACTGGCTGCTGTGGAGCCCAGCGGCGTCACTAAAAAAGCTCCTGCTTAGCAGGAATTTGGATGACGTAAGTCTAATGCTGGACAGATGAGAGACTGGGGACACATGCAAGGCTGCAGCTACCATTGCTGTCCCTCCTGGCAGCAAATAGGTAGAGGCAGTTTCCATTAAATACACAGAAACCAGCTGCCAGTCAGAGCTCAGGCCTCCCCCAGGTTCTGAGGGGCTTTGGTTTGTCTCAGAGCAGCAGAGAATCCAGAGCCCCGGACAGCCGGTGCGGATGTTACTTGTTGCCTATTTACTGAATGTTCCACCAGGATGTTCCTCGTGGCAAGGGTGGCCTTGCGTTCAGATCCATTTTATATCAACTTATTTTTTCCGGAGTTCGTATTCCGCAGGACAATGCAAACACGCTCTGGTTTGTTAACCGGGTCTGGCAACGCTCCCTTGGCGTCGCCTGGCACCGGGCACTGGACTCAAAGCAGGGACTTGAGTTCTAACCATGGCCCCAGTGGCCTTGGGCAAGCTGCTCCCCTCTGCCTTGGTCTCCAGACAATGCTGACCCGCCTTGCAGGGGTTGCTAGGGTTAAACAGCTGACACTAGAAGAGTGCTCTGCAAGGACTCAGTCGGATGACGACTGAACCAACCATGGAGTGAAGGGGTCTGCGTGGAAGGCAGCTGACCACCGACCTGCCATGGAATAGACCCCAGAATTCTCACACCCCATTAGACCCCAAGGAAGGGAGAAGTTTTATAGAGATGCTTTACTGGGCAGCACTTGCATTCCCCTTTACCTCCTCTAAACCTCCACCCATTTGCATCCCCAGCAGGACGCTCCATGCATGTCCACAAGTGCTGGACGGCAGTGTGACCATGGGGATTACTGTGTGGTGCTGCTAGAGAGGGACCAACCCTGCACCTGGCATACAAGGGCACCAAAGAATTGCAGTAGGTCTCCTCTGGCCACTTGAGCTCTCCCATCTTGCCAGTGGAAGAGGCTGGCACTGTGCAGCACTTGACCTGGGTGCGGTGGCAGGGGTATGCAGAGTTACCTGGAGGTGAGCGGCTGTTATTCGGCCTGTGGCGTTGAAATCCAGCGACATGACCATGGAGAAGCGAGTGGAGGCGCCATTGTAACAGGTGGTCACTGTCCCAAAGGCTTTGAGGATTGTGAACATGGCCTGAATCTTCTCCACTGCAAAAATCAACACAAACAGTCTGGTTTGCAACAAGCTCTGTGACTGGCTGTAACAACACTGCACGCTTCCCCGGTTCGAATCCCAGGTCTCCATCTCCCTGGGCCCCGGTGCGACAGCTACACATGGCTGCTGCTAACCCGAAAGCATTCATGTTCTTCACTGAAAATCAGACCCTCCTCCAAGTCACAACTCCTAAGGCATCTCTGGGGTGGGTCCTGCACTGATGGGCCCGCATGGCGCAGACTCTCTTAGCAGGGAAGGCTGTGATGTCACAGTGGAGGCTGCTAGCTCAGTGGTGTGTTGTGGCTCATCATTCTGTTTATCCCTTGGGAGGGCCTTCATTTTTGCATGCAAAGTCATTGGGAGTTAACCCTGTGTAAACCTAGATCAGAAAATGTTTAATTTATTCGATTTTTTAAAAGTCATCTGTAGGCGCCATCCAGGCTGCGGCCTCCTGCCCCAGCAATCAAACAATACAATGTAAATGTAGACCAGGGACTATCCATAAATGGAGACATCTCAGTCCACACCCTCCCCCACAGCCGTACCAGAGGGAGGGGAAGAGGTGCTGGAAAGCCTAACAAACCCAGGCTCTGGGGAAACGGGGTGTGGGAGCAAGTTCTAAAATCATTCCAAAATGTTACTGCACTGGGAGCATTTGAGACAGGCACATTACACAAGTAGAAGGGATAAATTGATACATATTCTTCCTTTCCCCTTTGTGCAACAAAAATAAAATAAAATGCAACCACACAGTGTCAGATTCCACGGTCATCACATTGCAGCTGCATGGACTTTACCATCAACAGCCAGGAAAGCACCCAGAACCTCATGGATCAGAAGCACAGGGGCTCCTACCACCTGAGCTACAAGAGAACTTCTGCTAGTCAGAATGGGGCTAGGACTTAGCAGGAACAGGAACACAAAGGTTGTGGGATTCCACTCACATAACTGGAGAGGACAGTCCGGCCCTTTTCATTCCTATCTGTGATCAGTTCTGTGCACACATGGGAGGGGGTTCCCCATAAACATCCACACAAAGCCACCTCCTTCATATCCTTCCTTGACACACTCCTCGGCCCTGAAGTCTACAAAACCTTGGCGTTTACAGACCAATGTGGTTGTTACTGAAGTAATAAACTTGGTGATTGGTTCAGTATAACTAAGTGTCCTGATCTGGGAAATACTGACCAAGGTAAAAGTAGACCTGAAAAAGAACCGAGGATTAACACTAATGAGCTACTGCTCTCTGGACTCAATACAAAGGAATTATCCTTATTAAATTCCATTCAAATAGTGGCTATCACATTTATCCAGTTGGAAAATATAGTTTGTTAGATTTTGGCTTTAAACAAATCTCATCAGCATCTCGGTAAATTCATAAAACTGGCCCCTACTCACTCTCGCAGTATGCTGAGCCCGCTGCTTGCAATGCTGAGCCAGACTAAAATTAATTGTAATGATCTGTATTACGGCAGCCCCCAGCAGCCCCAGTTAGAGACCAGGCCCCCCGGTGCTAAGCACTGTAGAAACACAGGACAAGGAGAGGCCCCTGACCCCAACTGCTTACACAGAAATGTAGAAATGTCGGGCTGAAAGGGCTCTCAGAGCTCACCAGGTCCAGGCCCTGGCATTGAGGCAGGATCAAGTAAATAGACCATCCCTGGTAGGGGTTTGTCCAACCTGGTCTTAAAAAACCTCCAGTGATGGGAATTCCACAGCCTCCTATAGAAGCCTGTTCCAGAGCTTAACTACTTTACAGCTAGAACGTTCAATCTCCCTTGCTGCAGATTAAGCCCATGACTTCTTGTCCTACCTTCAGTGGACAGGGAGAACAATTGATCACCCTCCTCTGTATAACAGCCCTTAACATATGTCAAGACTGTTCTGAGGTACCACTCACCCAGCCTTCCCTCCTAAGTCAGGGTTTCTAAACCTCATATCATTTTTGTTGCTCTCCTCTGAACTCTCTCCAATTTGTCCAAATCTTTCCTAAAATGCGGCACCCAGAACTGGACACAGTACTCCAGCTGAGGCCTCACCAGTGCCGAGCAGAGTGGGACAATTACCTCCTCTGTCTTACATACAATACTCCTGCTAATACACCCCAGAATTATATTCGCCTTTTTCACAGCTGCAGCACATTGCCGACGCATATCCAGAGCCCAGAGCCTTTTCAGCAGTGCTGCCCTCTAGCTAGTAATTCCCCATTTTGTGACTGTGCATTTCCTAAGTGAAGTACTTTGCACTTGTCTTTATTGAAGTTCATCTTGATTTCAGACCAATTCTGTAAGTGGCCAATGTAAGTATCGGACAAGACACAACAGACAGACAGACAGAAGGGGAGCATGAGTGCAGAGGAGTAGCGTCTCATTGTTCTCCCCCAGCCATTCGTCTGTCTCCACCAGTTGTCTCTTCACTTATACTTGGATTGGAAGCTGTTTGGGGCAGGGACTGTCTCTTCGTTCTGTGTTGGTACAGTGCCTAGCACAGTGGAGTCTTGGTCCATCAGTGGGCTCCCTATGTGCAACTGCAACGCCCAGAACAATAACGTGCCGACATAGCCACCCGCTGGCAGTACCTGAGACTCTGTTGTCCACGCTGCGGGCGGCGCCCACCAGGTATTCCAGAGCGCTCTGGCAGCAGGTTGTTTTCCCGGCACCGCTTCTCCCCAAGGGCACAATTGCCTGGTCCTGCCGGTGCATGAGCAGGCTCCAGTAGGCGCTCTGTGCCACGGAGCAGATGTGAGGGGGCATGTTGTCTCGCTTCCCTTTGAACACCTAGAGACAGAAGGGCCGCGTGAAGGAGCTGCTCTAATGATCTCCCTTAACACGGAGTCGCCCGGTGGGGTTCTCAGACATGAAAGACTTTGAAGGTTTTCACGTCAAGCCTGTCTGTTTCCATTCAGGCTGCGCTTTGTAACCCCACTGGGCTTCCCTGCAGCCGCCCTTTCACCGCTCCTTCCCTGAAGCGCCCTCCCATCGCCTTGAGCCTGGCTGACGCTTGCACTGGAGGGACGGACAGTTCCAGATCACAGGATAGGAGCGTGCGAGCAGAGAGAGCCCGCTGTTAACGAGCCCATCTGTTAATGAACAGCTGTGCCTTTAACGGGATTCCTCCCCTCTCTGCCCCTTCATGTCACCCACTGGCCCAGTTCCCTAGAGCTCTGGGAAACTCAATTCCTGTTTTGCAGAATTTCCTCTCCGTTTTCAGTGCACACCTCTCCAAAATACATCGCTTTCTTTGCAATTCTAGCAAAACAGCTCTTTTCTCACTCAAAGCAGGCAAGCACACACTTCTAATGAGAATAACCTTCTCCCCTTGCATTCAGAAGGGTGAAAGAGAAAGGCCCGCTTCACTCAGCTTTTGCTTCGAAATGGGTCCGCTTTTGTTTGAAAAGTTCATGCGAATTGGGCTTAGTTTCACGTGCCTGATGCCAGGCAACCTCCCGCCTTGATTTTTCGTACTGCTTTGCATTTCATTACGGACACGTCTCACCCCCCTCCGTTTGCTCTGCCCGGCCATACAGAAAGACCCAGGTTCTGATCCCACCACAAGGAGGGAGGATGCTCAGGTTGGTAAATCCCACGTGTGCTGATGAGAAAATGGAGCCCTGTGTGTTGTTTTCCACCAATACAGGAGCTCCAGTCCTGCTTCCTCAGACAGGAGCTGGGCACAGTTCCCTCACACTCTGCTTCCCAGCCCCCTCTCTGTGGCTATGATGGTTCTGGGGCACCACCTATTGGACACTGATGGAAACCAAGGAATTCTCCTAGGAAAGTGTCCTAGGGAACCAGGATATTCACTGAAGATCACTTTCCAAACTAAACAAATAAAACCCTCTAAAGCGCTTCTAAAATAGCTTCCCTGTGAAATACGTGGCATAAACCGAGCACTCAATGGTGTGGGATTTGCAGCCATCACAAATCCAAGCCAGGGAACCCGTCTACCACATCACACCATCATGTAGCCTCTGCATGAGACAGGTCACGCCCACCACTTACCTTTCCTGAGTAGTTAGTAGTGGCCCAGCTGGGCTTGAGTGCAATCAGGCAGGGCCCTGCATAAGTGTTGCAGAGCTGGGACTGGTACCGGTGCTGGAGTGTGTTAATGACACTCGATTCATTCAGACTGAGAAGTGCAGCAAGATCTTCCGTGTAATCCAGTTTGGAGGGATTGGTCTACAAAAAATAATGCATGAGAAGCCGCTTGAGGGCCCGGCTGTGCTGGAGAGACTCATTTCATTCCTTGCAGCGCACAGCTGATAACACTGATAACCTGGGAAACCTAACATTTCTCCAGCTGAATCGGGAGTTTCCTGTGATCACCCTTGGCATGGGGGGAGTTAGAGACCTCACAAGATGTGACTCCCTGGGGCAGAGAAGTGGTCAGTTTTGGGGCTACTAAATGTATATGTATACGGACATACCACCCAAAACGTGCTAGACACTTTCCAGACCAATCGGAGGCCACAGTCCCTTCCCCAAGAGCTCACATTTTAATAGGGTTGAGTACAATTAACTGTGAGCAGGAACCAAAAGCATTGTAGCGCTCGGTAGTGTCTTGCAAAGTAGGTCCATGAACAGAGCCATGTGACAGCCAGAGCAATACTCCAGCTCTGCTATTGCAGACTGCAGCCTGGTGTGCAAGAGATTCCAAGCACTGCAGCCAATCGCAACGGAGAGTCAATTACCAAACAGCCAAAAAGTCTCAACCACAAGGAGAATCTCCAGCCATCAGACAGGACATCCAGTAGGGATGGGGGCCCGCGTTTATCAGCATAAGCTGGCGCCGCTCCATTGACTTCAGCAGAGCTGCCCCCACCTCGCAGGAGCAGTGAGGTTTGCCTTGGGGCAGAGAGACCATTTCGGCTGGGATGGAGGAAGAGGCTTTCCAGGCAGGTTTGACAGCATCTGTGGGGTTTTATTTCTGGGTACTCACCCAGTGAATATCCTCCTCATCCACCTCAGTGACAGTGTCGTCAGCTTCTAAGCGAATCCTCACCCTCCCAACTGGCAGCTCCGGGGTCCCCACATCCGGCTTCAGCACGGTAGCTGCAAGAGAAGCCCAAAGATGAGCTCTTTCCTAAATAAGGGGCAGCTAATTACAGAAGTAGCTGAACAGGCCTGCACAAGGTGTGGTTCTCGTTCAGAGAACTACAGAGGGGCCAATTCTGATCTCGCCCCAGCACTGTACACTAGGGAACGTCTCGTGCGCAGCAGCAAGGTCTACACAGTCCAAGCGGTGCACAATGCTGTAGTGGCTTTACAACTCACACCCCTATAGTGCACATAGCCCGAAGGGCTCTGTCTCCACTGCAAGGGTAGGTATGATGGCAGCACAGGTAGGCATGCACATTTAATCTAGCCAGCATGGGTAACAGTGTATAGAGATGTGGCAGAACAGGCTTCAGCACATGCTAGCACCAGAGTACGTACTAAGGGTCCCGGCTGGCTTGTACTCCGGTTGCTAGTCCAGGCTGAAGCCTGTTCTGACAGTTCAGCACCACTATTGTCACCCATGCTAACTAGATTCACGTTAGCACAGATAAGTCTACCCCCATTGCATTCGCACCTCCACTTGCAGAGGAGACGTGAGTCACAGTTCCCGTTATGTACACGTACTGCCAGAGCGAGGGAAAGGGGCCACAGGATAAACGAGAGATTCAGACTGGTTTATAAAACCAACTCTGAGAGTTAACAACAGTGTGCACAGAAAAGCATCATGGGAAATACCTTAAAGAATACGAAATGCTGCCTGTACTGGAAGAACGTTACAGGGGAGGGCAATATGGGCTCCAATGTTTGTATGCCTTCGGTGAGAGCGACCAACAGGAAAGAGATCCCGTCAGGTATTAGGTTTGCTATTGTACTTCAAGGGTGATATTTTGCCTCTCTCCCCACTAGCATCTGGAGGCTTAGTGGCACTTGCACCTTGCACAGCCCTTTACACACAATAATCCCATTTCACACTCTCCTGCCCGTGAGAAAGCCAGAGAAGATTCAACCCTTTTCACAGATCATGAGAAGCAAGTCATACAAACCTAATGGATGAATCTCTGGACAGGCTGAGCTCCCACTAACCCTTCTGGGGCCATGCAAGCTGCAGGCATTTGGCACTTTAGAGACCAGGCCAGGCAGGACTTGGCCAAGCCACACAGTGAGTCCTGACGGAACCCGGAACAATACCAAAGAGCCCCACTCCCCGGCTGTTGTAACTGCCAGACTAGGAGGAGGTCACAGCTCTTAGAAGAGGCTCCTCTCCTGTCTGAGCTCAGCAATGGCCACACAGGGATAGCCAGACTGGATAGGACCTGAGATCCACCCAGTCCAGCACCCTGGCTGCAGGGGTGGCCAGTGCCAGTTGCTTCAGAGGAAGAAGTCCTGTAGCCTGTAGTGATGGGATTAGCTTCCCCAGGAGGGTTCCTCCGAGCCCCCAGTGGTGCATCCAAAGCTGGAGGGTTTATCTCCCTTCCAAACAACACCAAAGCAAGTTACTCAGCTTAGGTATCAGAGTGCAGATGGAGAAAATGAAAGTTACCGAGAGTAAATCCATCTTTCTGGACAAGCCAAACTTTCTCTGTTTCATACCACACGTCGGCATGAACCTGGAGACAAAAAGAGAGTCAGGTTCCTGCAGCAGGAGATAGTGAAGCAGAGGCAGTTCTAATCTGATCTTTTAACAAAGTCTTTGACCTTTGATCTCACACACAATGACCGTTTGCTTTCCAGCCACAGGAATTAGCACTTTCCTGTTAAAGATCTTCATTTGCATTACACGAGGCTTCTTTCCCGTTTGCTGGGTTACTTAGTTACAGGGGTATAGCGAATGCAAATGTTTGCTATTACATTATAACTGGGTACAGATACATGAAAACAATGCATGCAACATCCCACCTGGTTTTCATGAAATTTAAACACTAAACACATTCTGACACATTTTAACGTCTGCATGCATTCTAATCAACTTGTCACTTTTAAGTCTACATAACACACCAATTCTTCTGATCTGGGACCTTAAACAGCTTCTATTTTGTTTCAGTTCTCCTGTATCAAAGGGGTTTTTACTCTAACTCCACAGGGAAGGACTCTATACGCCATACACTAGCTGAACAGCAGGACACGTGGACAGGGCACAAAATCACCTTGTCTGAGACTGTGCTTTCCCCTGGCTCCTTGATTTCTCCAGACTCCTTCTTATTTTCCACTGGTTCCTCCTCGATTTCTCTAGGCTTCTTCTTGACCTCCCCTTGTTCCTCCTTGATTTCCACTGGTTCCTCCTTGACCTTCCCTGGCTTCTCCTTGATCTCCCCTTGTTCCTCCTTGATTTCCACTGGTTCTTCCTTGATTTTCCCTGGCTTCTCCTTAATCTCCCCTTGCCCCTTCTTGATTTCGGCCTTGATTTGGGGCTCCCGCCGCTTCTTCGTTACCACCTTCTCTTTCCCTGAACTTTCAGGACGTTTTCTCCTCAGTGCGTCGCCCTCCTTTGCAGGATCTTCACGGTGGCGCTGAAAATCCTTACCAGTTGTTGGAGCACCAGCAGGGGCATTTTCCCCTTTACTTTGTTCCTTAGAGCTCTGCTCAGGACATGGAGGTTTGGCAACCTTGGACTCAACTGGTGGGATTGTCTCCCCTGGTTTGGGAGTGGCTGCTGTCTTTTCAGGTGCCGGGGAGGTGGCTTTCGCGATGTTGCTCCTCTTCACGATTCTCTTGAAGGGAAGAGGCTTTCTCGGTGCAACTTCCGCTGTCACTTCCCCTTCGTGCTGCTCTCCGTTCAGGCCGTTCTGCAGCAATTGCCCTTCACTTGCCATTTCTCCTCCTACTTCAAGGATGTTCTCATCCTTTATCACAAACTGCTGCTCATGGCTGTTGTCGTGCTTCCCAGGAGGCTAGAAACAAAATCAAGATGAAGCTGAGCCTGTTAGCATTAAGCCTGGTGACGCCAGAGGAACAGCTCACTCGGTGAATTCACCAGCCTGGATTTGGCAGCCAACAGGCACCAGGGTCTCTGCAGAAACTTAGACCCAGCCTCATCTCAGGCACAGAGCTACAGGGGGGTTGGTGAGTTGCTCTCCTCACCTGGGGGTCGAGGAGGGTTTGATTTTAGAGAGACTTGGAGCAACTAAAAGCAGCTTCCAATTTATAGGGATAAACGGCAGGGCCAGATCACAAATCGCAGGAACAGCAAAATGCACAAGCAGCTGTGTCCTTATGTCCCATTTTCAGCAGTGATGTGGCCTCCTAGGACCTTAATTCAGTGGGACCGAGGGCCAGATTTCCAAAGTGCCTAAATGAGCAGAGGGGCAGCTCATGGGATTTGGAAAAGCCCCCCGACTCCTGACTCCCATTGATAACACCTCTGAAGTTAGGTGCCAGGTGCTTTGGAAAACCCCACATGACGCCCATCTACTCCTTCAGGTGCCAAATACCTGTGAAAACCTGGCCCTTCTGACAATGTTACCCAGGGCCTAATCCTGCAAGGTGCCGAGCAGAGCTGGTGGCCAGTTTTCGTCCAGCCCTGGTGCCAGCATCTCCGGTGGAGCTGAGTATGCTGAATGCCTGGCAGAACTGGACACCTAGGGCTCTCGCCCTGACCCAGGGACACACACAGTGCTTGCTTTAACTCGAATGTGTGAGTTGGAGCCCAAACCCCTGGGGCTTAACTAGCACGGTGGCCTTGAGCTGCCCTCTGCAGAAAGGCCAGTCGCATCCCCGGCTGCACACAGCGTGAGAGAGGGGTCTGTTTCTCCTTCCAAGTGCTCCCTGTTAGCATGTCCAGTCTAGACGCTTACACTGAGCTGCAAGGTCTAGCTCCAGTCCTCCGCCCATTGCTCTGCTTGGCCATGACTCAGGCAGTGGAGGCGATAGCGAGGGAATTAACGACAGCCGGGTGAGGAAGGCATTGTCACCTGGCCCTAGCTATCCATTACCCTTTGGCACCGGATCTAGCTGGGGAAGACAGAATTCTTCCCCCGGAGAAGGTCTGTTGGCTCGGGGATGGAACTGCCATGAAACAGACACTGCGCTTCCCTCGCCGGCTAGTCATGCCTTTGAACCTTTCGTTTTGGGCAGTGACCAAGGGATCTGGAGGTTCAACATGCACCACAGAGAATTTTTCACTTTGCCTAATTTCTAGACTGGCTGTTAAGTGTGTCTAGGGTGGCTAATTGCACTAGCAAAGCCACACGTGCCTCAGATATACGTTAATGGTGCTCAGTCTCTGCCCATGGAGCGTGCTGGCATTCGCTGGGACTAACTCCCTGTTTTCATCTCTACCCAGCAAACTCCAACCCGGAGCCAGGCAGTCCAGAAACTTCAAGGGAAATTCCAGGACAGCACGGCCTTCCGGTGACCACAGGCCACTTGGCACCTTCCCGAGGAACCTCCCCTTGGTAACATCATTTGAAGTGCTGCCTCCAGTGCACACGTCCCCTGGCTGCCTTCTGACTGACCTGCTCTGGTCCTGCCGCCAGAGCACCTGTACAAACAGATTGCTTTGCACACTAGAAACGGCAGAGATTGCTTGGGATCTGGAGGGCGGTTTTATCAATGGGGCTGATCCTTTCCCACAGTCGTGGCTGCTCAGGACCCTGGGAATCTAGCTGGGATCAAGGCAACTGGTCTGAACGGCAAGTCGGACCTCCTGGGGCAGGTCCCAAGGCTGGAAAGAGTGTAAGTCAGGCCAGCATTTGGCTCCCACAGACTTCCCAGCCCAAATAGCTTTGATTAGATTCATAGATTGTAAGGCCAGAAGGGACCACTGTGATCCTCTAGTCTGACCTCCTGCATAGCCCAGGCCGCAGGATTCCACTGAAACAGATCAGAACTTTCAGAAACACACCAATCCTGCTTTAAAAACTACCCGTGATGCAGAATCCATCATGGCCCTCGGTAAATGTTCCAGCGGTTAATTACCCTCACTGTAAAAAACGTGTACAGTACTTAATTCCCAGTCTGAATTTGTCTGGCTTCAACTTCCAACCATTTAATCTTGTTAAACTTTTGTCTGCTAGACTGAAGAGCCCTTTAGCAAATTCCTGTTCTCCACGTAGGTACTTACAGACTGTGATCACCCTTAACCTTCTCTTTGTTCAGCTCCATAGACTTAAGGAGCTCAATGGATCACTGTATGGCATGTTTTCCAACCCTTTAATTATTTTTTGGCTCTTCTCTCAACCCTCTCCAGCGTCTCCATTTATTACCCATTTGAAGACACTGCCCTGATTCTGATTCCTGCATCTCACGTGAAAAACTTTGCAGCTAGCACCAAAAACTCCAGTGACAGCAGCTGTTGTAGCAAGACACTGGGGACTTTGGGTTTGGCATTGCTCATGGATAGGGTGACCAGATGTCCTGTTTTTAAAGGGACAGTCCCGTTTTGGGGGACTTTTCCTTATATAGGCGCCTATTACCCCCCACCCCCTGTCCTGTTTTTTCACAGTTGCTGTCTGGTCAGCCTACTCATGGACCAACTACAAACCTCCTTTGAGGAGCCTTGCAAGCTTACCCACCGCTTTGATATTATTGTCTATTAACAATTAGCTCTGTTAGCGAGATTCATTGCCAGTGTTTTCATCCAGGGAAAGGTGCCTCTGCAGTGAGGCTCTAGCACTTTTGATCTGTTAGAAGCACAATTGTGCAAACAAGAGTAAAACTAGCGGCTTCTCCCCTTTTGCTCCCGGCAGCCCTCACTAAACCCAAATCTTAGCACTCGGAATGTCATGGACAACAACATTCTGCCTTTGCAGCACAGGGGCATTTTCAGGATGTGCTCATGATCCCAGATGCCCAGATACTGGGGCCCCGTCAGCTTCTCCGTGGGGGTTGAACCTGGGACATCCAGCACTAAGAGCACCAGCCATTACTAATTGAGCTAAAGGAGCAACTCCTCTAACGGGCAGTTGTAGTAGTCTGGTATCCTCTGGCCCAGCCAACTGAGGGGGCCATGCCATGCACATGTGATGGTGGAGGTTACACCGACAATTGACCCCCAGGATACTGAACGCAGGGCACAATTGGTTTGGTACTTACGTCTTCTTTGGAGTTCAAGGTGCCTTTCTCTTTCCGTTTAGCTACCTTGGATTCTTTCTCTGTTTCCCGAACAAGCTGTTTGATGAACCCCCCAGGAATCACTGAGAAAAGCGGAGGTGGCGAGGAAGGGGGCGGACTCCGGTCTTCTTCCCTGATCTGTTTGCACAAGCAGAGGCTACATTATTCGATGGCACGCCTCGTGGGCCCTGGCAAAGGTCTGCTCTTCGGGCTCAGACAGCATCACAAACCCCTTGAGGAGCAGTTAGTCGGCATACATGACTCAACCAAGCTCATGTATGACAGGCCAAGTCCCGTACTCTGCTATAGCATCACACGGGAGTAGCAAAGTGAGAGAGACGTGGCAGGGGGCTTGCAGAGCCCTTTCCAACAATCAGACGTTCTCGTCGCACATCATACAACCACCACTCACGATCTGGAACTGGACCCTCCCCTTGCTGAATTTATTCCCTCCCCAGGGCTGCATCTACTACAGGTACTTGCATGCTGGTTTGTTATTGTAGGGTTGCTTGAGAGTCTTGGGGTTGCACCTGCTGGGTTGTTGTGGGGTTGCCTATGAGAACACGGCTGTTGTCGTAGGGTCACTCATGAAGACCAGACTAGCAGCATCAATTTCTTTCAAAAAAAAAAAAACTAAACAAATTTAAGGGAAATACCCCACATAGAACTGCAGGGGAGATTTCCAAAGGACCAAGGGCAGTTAGATGACATCCCCCAATGCAACTCCCCCTTGCACCTCTGAAAATCATTGGGGACTTTGCCGGAGTGGTCTAATTTGGGGCCATTTAGCCTAGCCATCGCCCCATTAACTATCTCTCCCTCCTTTGCTTACAAACATTTCAGATGTTTCCTACACGTTTCCCCACTTATGCTGAACAAGATGTGCAGCTGGGTTTTTTTACTTTCAGTTGATTAAAAGCCACTAGCTATTTAGCGGGACACAAAGAAGTGCTGGATGAGTTTTCATCTGTCCCCCTGTATGCAGGCAGAAGCAGTCCAACCTTCTGAGGATACATATCCAGCACCTTTACAAGTGCCGGTGCAAGCCCATGGGGGGCTTTAAACTGGAATATTTTGGGGTCCCTCCCCCCACACACAGCACATACTAATAATTAATGGGGGGGGCCCTTGAGCTGCTTGGGGCCCTAAGCAATTGCTTCGTCTGTTTATGCCTAGTACCGGCTCTACAGTGGTCTAGTGTCCCCTGGCAAAGCAGCCCCAAGGATAGCCCGCAGAAGCAGATCTAGGCCTCCATAAACCATTGTCCTCTCCTCCTCTTACAAGGGTGGACATGTTTAAGGGCCTCTTCCAAAGCTGACTGAAGTCAATGGAAAGACTTGCACTGCCCTCAACGGGCTTGGGATCTGGCCCCACGCACATCGCAAAGGACGTGGCTGTTGCAAAGAGGCACCGGAACATTCTCATTTTCAAACCTTGGAAAGCAGGGAAAGCTCGGACAGTTTAGGGCCTTTCAACCTTCTTACTTGTGTCCGAAAGAAGACTGGCACTTCAGACCCATGGTGTCCTCTCACACACACCTGCACATGGCTTTAACCTCAGGTGAGGATAGTTATTCTACTTTTCAAGCATATGTTAACTCTCTTCTTCTACCTGGAATTTACTGGCAGGAGCCGTCTGCTCCCAAGGCAGTAGAGAAAGAGCTCACAACACAAAACACAACACACAAATGGCCCCCTATGTGCTAGGAGCTAGAATGCTCACAAAAGGCATTTGTGGAAGGCAGCAGGACATGCACAGGGGGCGACAAGCGAGCCATTGACTATGAGAAGCCAAATCTAATGGGTAAAGTGAAACCAAAGGAATGGATCGTGCTGGCTAGCAAATGGTTAAAGCCGGGCGTGCTCCTTGCCCCCTGCTGGAAGCGTTGCTACTGTGCGATTGGGAACCCTTAGCTCCTTCCAGTGATCTGCTCCCTCTAAGCGCCCGAGGCCCCGCACCCAGGAGAGACATGCCACGTTCAGTGGGTGCCGGAGGGAACCCTGCCCCCGCAGCAGCACGAGTGTCGTCACTTTCCTTTTGCTCCCACAATGCAAGGCGTGATGAGATGGCCATGCTTCTGCTGTGACAGTGCCTGAGGGCTGGAGAGCTTCGGATGTGATACAAGGAATGATGCTTTATGGAGACAAATGACACATCGACCTGGGCCCCGGACCAGAGACACACACATAGGAGGGCGGGAGGAGAGAAAAAACAAAGATGTCATTAGTCCATGAGCGAGAGATGTATGAAACACACAAGCTGCTCTGCCCCATCTCACCCTCCACACGGGGTCCGACCCAGCGGGCTGAGCAGGCCCCTCCTAGCTGGGGGTAAATAGCCTGGCAACCAGCGATGCGCTCCGGAGATCCGGGGAGTGGCAGTCCCTGGAAAGTCCGTGCACCGTCAGTTCAAATCAGAGGCAGCTACTAACCCTGCCGTGGGTGTAGAGGACTCAGGCAGATGACACAAAGTTCCCAAGGTTAATCAGGGCCAGAGAGGGCTGTGAGGAACTCCACGGGCAACACAACGGCAAAGGAACTTCACTGTCAACAATAGCAAAGCAATGCACGTGGGAGGGAAAACTTCAAACTTCTCATTCCCCTCACAGGGTCTAAATTAACCATGTCAACCAGGGAAGGGAGCTGGCCTCTGCTCAGTGTGCAGCTATGGCTAACACGCTAACGAGGTGGAGGAGGCCCAGGGAACAGGGCGGTGAATGATATGGAGAACATTATACCAATATTATATTAGCCAATGGGGTGGCCCCCTCTGGGTGGGCAGCCCAGCTCACAAAGGACATGGCAGAAATGGAGTGGGTTTGGGGGGGGGGGAGAACCTGGAAAAACTCTCTGAAGAGACACTGAAACCACTGTTACTTAGAGAGAAGATGGAGAAGAGGGGACATGACAAAAGTCTATAAATATTGACTGGTCCATAGAAGAGAGATCAGCAGCGTCTGTTCTCCCTGCCTCATAACACACGAGCAAGGGGACAGGCAGTGAAATTAAAATTCAAAACCGATAGAAGGAAATTCCTTTCCCACACAATGTGTAACTAAGCGGTGGAACTCACTGCCACATGACACTGTTCAGGGCAAGAAGTCAATAAGGTTCAAAAAGGGACTGGGCATTTCTGTTAAAATCAAGACTATGCAGAGTTATTTAACTAACATTAGCAATTTGGCAGGGACATTAAATCTGCTGCTTCAGGGCTCAGGGCAACCTCTAACGATCAGACACCTGGATGAAATCTAGTGCGGGGGATGGGGGAGCAGATAATGCCACATCGGCGACTGCAGGTTTCCTACACCTTCCTCAGAGGCAGCTGGGTCTGGGCACAGTCAGGGCAGGACACGGAGCTAACTGGACAGTGTCTTTGATCCAGTTTGGCAATTATGATGTGGATCTAACGAAAGCACTGCAGTGTGGAGTCCTTCATGCTGGAGGGATTCAGACGGGGACTTTCTATCTCAAAGGCCTCACTCTAGGACGGGGGGCGGGGGGGGGGCAACCTGTGGCTCCGGAGCCACATGCGGCTCTTCAGAAGTTAATATGCGGCTCCTTGAATAGGCACCGACTCCGGGGCTGGAGCTACAGACGCCAACTTTCCAATGTACTTGGGGGGGGGGACTCACTGCTCAACCCCTGGCTCTGCCACAAGCCCTGCCCCCACTCCTCCCCTTCCTGCCCCCTCCCCTGAGCCTGCCGTGCCCTCGCTCCTCCCCCTCCCGCCCAGAACCTCCTGCACGCCACGAAACTGCTGATCAGGAGGTGCGAGGAGGGAGGGGGAGGCGCTGATTGGCGGGGCTGCCGGTGGGCAGGAGGCGCTGGAAGCAGGGGTGGGGAGCTGATGGGGGGCTGCTGACGTATTACTGTGGCTCTTTGGCAATGTACATTGATAAATTCTGGCTCCTTCTCAAGCTCAGGTTGGCCACTCCTAGTCTAGGACTATGACACTGTCAGTGCAGGGTTCTCTCCAGTGCTGCTTTCAAACGGCTCAAGGAATGGGTTTCCTTTCTAGTTCTGTAAAAGGGAAAGCCCCATCCCAAACATGCACTAACATCCCACACGCCACCCTCCACTGCCTTGGCTTTACACTCCAGGGTGGGCACAGAGGCACTGACGAATCAATGCGGTAGCATCTCCCATGCGTTGGCCTCAATGAATGCACTGGAGAGACCCTAGGGAATCCCAGGTGCAGGTGAAATTCCTGCTTGGCTCAGAGAGACTTTTCCAGAAGAGTTTGTCCGTGTGAAAGCAGAATCCAATGGACGTGTTCGTACAAATGCTCAGACACGTGCGCGCACAGAATTTTTCCCTCGTATCAGACAGCCTCTCCATAGAGCAAACCACAGTAACTCTCTGCGTCTTCACGACCCCTCTTACCTGAGGCTCTCCAAGGATACGTGAATTAAGCCTCACAACATACCTTGGCGGTGAAGCACTCGTGATTATTTGCCACCTTCCACAGCTGAGGAAAGTGCGGTAGAGCAGGGTGAGTCACCTGCCCCCGGGCCCCAGTGAGTCAGTGGCAGAACTGGGACCGGAGCCCAGGAGTCCAGGCCCCCAGACACCTGTTCTAACCGCTTACACCAGCTGCAAAATGCTTATGAATTCCACTTTGACCACTCAGCTGTTTTAAGTCCCATTCTCTCTAACCACATCAACTGCTAGGAACCCACTTCCAGATTTGCATCCTAGGCTATTTTTTTATTCTCCTCCCTCTGGCATTTGGCCTGGCAGAGAGATTTCAGGGAGGAACCTTGAACCTATCAGCCAACACTGACACGAGTGACACCAGCACTGCCTTAAGGGCCAGGTTTTTGCTGGGTGATCAACTTTCAGAAGAAAAACACAGTTCCAGAAATGTGGGCTTCTCCCACCTTTTTTGCCCCCAAGAGGCAAACACACACATGGAGGGGGGGCAGGAAGTGGCTTCTGAGGGCTGCAATGCCACATCCAAAGCATGCTAATATTTGGGGTGGGGGTTGCAGATATTTCTGATACAGAAAAGTTCCCCATTTTATTCCAGGGTCCAATTAAGCAACAGAAACGCTGCAACAGAGTTACTTCTTCTAAACCCAGGAGCTGCCTTTCACCCAGCTCTGGCCCCCAGCTGCCCTGTCCAAAAGGCACCACCAGCGCTGGGATGGCACATCCAGAGCCACCAGCTGACCTGAAACAAACTGTTTTGATTTTCCCAACACAAAAAGAAAAACATTTGACAAAATCGAACATTTTCCTGTGGACCAATTTGATTTCGTGAAAACTGCATTTTCTGTCCAAAAATCGTTCCTACGACATTCCCAACCAGCCTCGGCACAGAAGGGATCCCGAAGCACTTTACAAACTGCACACAGGCTGTGCGGGGGCCTCTCCTCTCCAAAGCCTGCCAGGGTACAACGTTCTGGTGGGCAAGCGCTGTGACAGAGAGTGCTTACGGACCCCGGGGGCTCTCCCTCAGCACAGGGCACGGACCTGCACTGAGCCACGCCAGAGGAGAAGGGAGTCTTTCCCCTGCACTGAGCCGGACATCCGCTTCTATGCCCTGCAGGGTGTGCTGGTGCCTGGGGTAAAGCCCTTGGCTCGAGACTCCCTGCCCGGGCCCATGATGCCCTGGTGCTAAGAGGAACCGCCCACCTGCTTAACCGCTAGCTTTTAAAGCAAACCAACACCGTGACATTGGCACTAATGCTGCACCGCGAGGGGCCCCGGTGCTGGAGCCGGCGCATGCTAACTCCCGCCAGCGGGGCCGCAGGATGGGACGGTAGCTGCTTTCCCCCCTTGCTCACAGCAACGAGCTAGAAGATGGGACGTTCCCACACCTGGCAGAGAGAACAGCCTGCAGGGCCCATCCCGCCCACCATCCATCCGCAGCCCCAGCACGGGTATCGGCAGGGCGAGGCCAGACGCAATGTGGTTCTTCTACAGGGACCGGGGGCTGGAGAGCGAAGCTTTGCCCTGGATGAGCCAGTGCCATTGAACACCGGCCAGCCCCAGAGAGCCATTGAACCGCTTCACTGTGACATGGAAGGAGAATCCCTTTGCTTGGTGCCAATTCCTGATTCACCTCAGGCTGCTCCGTCAGAGACGCCCAGTGCGACGTCCCAGGCTGGGCAGAGCTGCCATGGTAACGCCATTCCCCCCAAGGATTGCTGTGCAGGCTGTCGGGCCTTCCCCATCGTTCCCTCCCCAGCTGCAGGCTATCGGGCCTCCGGGGATGGTTTTTAATCATTCGCTCCATTCCTGGAACCAGCCACAGTCTGTGCGCAGACACCCAGCCTGCGAGGGGCCTGGGCTGCAGTCACAGCACCCCGCATTCGGCGGAGAAGGGGGACGATTAGCCCAGCCCCTGGGAGAGGCACTGACCTTTCCCGGTTACATTTTGACGAGCTGAGCTCACTGCCTGTCCCTGCCACCTGGCGTCTCCGCAGCACGAATACCGAGGAGTGAAAGTCACTTTCCCGTGGGCCGGGAGGGGCCGGGGAGTCTCTTCCTGCTCCGTGAGCTTGGTTGCTATTTCTGCTGCTGCTGCGGTAGCCCCCAGCTGCTGCGGTAGCCTGTCTGAAACGAGCCCAGTGGGGAGGCGCGATGGAGTCCTCGGGGGGCGCCCATCCTACCCCTGCTGGGTCACAGGCCGGTTCTAGAACCTTCCGCTGCTGCTACCGCGGGAGCCGCCTTGAGGCGGGCGGGGAGGGGAACATGGGCACAGGGAGGGCACAGGTGGCTGCCAGGGTCTGGGTTTTATAGCACACACACAGACACACAGAGACACACACAGA